ATGTTAGCCAGGATGGTCTCGATCTCCTGACCTCGTGATCCACCCACCTCGGCCTCCCAAAGTGCTGGGATTACAGGTGTGAGCCACCACGCTTGACCCACATAATCTTTCTAAAGCACAAGTCTGACCCTGTTTTACTCCATCTCTTTTAGCCTCCCCACTGACAGTTTAAAGAACTCTATCTCTGCCCTTTCTCCACATCCATGGCTTCACTGACTCTGTGTCATTACTCGGAGCCACCACTGGAACCCTCTCCTAGGATACGGTGGTCTCTTAGGCTAATTCCCTGATGGTCACGTTCACTTGGCAATTCCACTCCCAGGGACTCCTCCCTACTCTAAGAAACTATTGTTCTCATCCCCATTTTACAAACACTGTTCTGATTTCAATTCTTTTCACTCTCACCTCAGTCTTTCTCCTAGAATTTACTGCCTCAGATTATGATGGCTTGTTTACTCCTTTGTCCCCCTGATAACACCAAGCTATGAACACCCTGAGGACAGGGCTTTTCTTTTGGTTCACTTCTTAACAGTTTTACCTAGCAGCATCCCACTTAGGGATACAGAATTTGTAGATTCAGTGAGTATTCAATAAATGAGTATGATTGATACTAAAGGAATGAAAGCAGAGAGACAGTTGAACTAAGTATTACCTTGAATTTTTAAAAAATCCTATTAATTAGACATCATCACTAGCACTCAAACTTCCCATACGCTGAAAGGACCTTTTATGACCCCAGACTAGGAAGGTACACAGTGTTACTTCACTGTATTCAACTCATCCAAGTAGTCACAAGCCCAACCAAATACTAGGGGAAGCTAAATCCCAATCTTTGATGGGATTATTGTTCAAAAACTGAAGGCCATTTAAAACCAGAGTCACCATCGGAGGATGCTAGTGAACTAACTCAGTATTTTGAAAATGTATAAGGAAAGAAAAAGAATCACTTATTGAGCCTTTCCTACACAAACTATGTGACTAAGTAATCAAATAGTAAGTGAAGTGAAATTTCTCTTCATAGAAATATTTCAAGTAGTAAATGAAAAAGGATAGAATTAGAATATCAGGCCGGGCATGGTGGCTCATGCCTGTAATCCAAGCATTTTGGGAGGCCGAGGCAGGTGGATTACTTGAGGTCAGGAGTTTGAGACCAGTCTGACCAATATGGTGAAACCCCATTTCTAACAAAACTACAAAATTAGCCGGATGTGGTGGTGGCAGGTGCCTCTAATCCCAGCTACTTGGGAGGCTGAGGCAGGAGAATCACTTGAACCTGGGAGGCAGAGGTTACAATGAGCCAAGATTGCACCATTCCCAGCCTGGGCAACAAGAGCAAAACTCCATCTCAAAAAATAAAGAAAGAAAGAATTAGAATATCACTATTTTGCAACCCTTAATGATTGCTAGATCCAGACATTGACCATCAATATCAGTCAACATTAAAAAAGGAGAAACAAAGCCGAACATTACATATTCTTTTTAGAAAAAGAGAACACTGCTTACAAAGTAGATTTGGGGGAAAATATATGTAGTGTATGCAGATCCAACTATCAAGTAGAGAAAAAAAGAAAGAAGCACATTTTAATAAATGCCTCAGGGATCCTATAAGCAAAATTCAGACTCGGAAACTTGACAGGACAAATGACCAGTTTCTTCCATAAATAAATGGGTAAGAGTTGGAGGGGAAACTACTGAGAGTTTAAAGTCATATCAACCAACCACAATGTGTAAATTTTATTTGGATTCTGACTCAAAGAAACTGCATAAGAAAATAAGTGACATTTGTGAGACAACTGGAAATTCAAGCTCTGAGTAAATATTTACTGATATTCAGGTAGTATTAGTTTCATTTTTTAAAATAATATAACATCATTGTGGTTGTGTTTATAAAAGAAAGTATCTTTTAAAAGTCCATTTTGAATTATTGATGGATAAAATGATGTATATGCTATGCATAAGATGTATATATGACATATATTGTATACACGTAATGTCTAGGATTTGCTCCAGAATAATATAACAAAAGAGTTTTAGGTGGGACAAATACAAGATTGTCCATGAATTGAAAATTATAAAAGCTGAGCAATGACACTTGGGAGTTTGTTGTATTATTTTGTCTATTTTTACTCTGAAACCTTCCCATATATTTATTTTTTTTAAAATTTTGCTAACTCCTCAAGAATGCTGAATGAAGTAAACGCTCCTAGATCAGTGCTGTGATGCACTCTATGATCTGGCCCTTACCCACGTCTTTAGGAACACCTGCGATCACTCTCTCTTTTCACCTACATTTAAACCACATGAAACTACTTATAGTTCCCACAAAGCACTAAAATTCCTCCTGCTTTTGTAAATGTTCCTTTTTCCAGAATGTCAAGTTCCATTCTTCTTCTCCTGGTAAAATTCAGTCAGTCACATCACGCATTGCCAACTGCATGCCACAGGCTCCCTGTTGTGGACTGGCCACCCACAACGAAGTGATGGATATCCACCATTTGCTGCCCCGGCTGCCTCTCCAGGCTTTCCTGCCCTCTTTTCTGCTCTGCGAGGCTGACCTATTTGGACTGCATCAGTGGCTCCCATGTCTTCTGGCTTCCGATTAGACTTCTCCATAAAGACCCACCAGCAGAAGATCTAGAGGTCAAGGTGCAGAGGGAAGTCGCTGTATTTATGTCCCTGGCTTGCTCCCTGCCAGGTAAGCACAGGTCGGTTGCTTCCTCTTTGCAAATATCACTCCTATCAGGTAACCCTTTCCAGTTAGTTCTCTTTCTGATACCGGTGATTGTTTCTTTTCCTTTTCATCTTCAGCTCAAGAATTGGTTTCTCATAAACCTAGTGCACTATTTGTGAAAGAGCCCTCCATTTAACTCTCCACTAATTACCCAGTTTCAGTATTGCTCCTGTATAATTAGTGTAATATTCTAATTAGTATACTAAATATACGAATTAGTATAATAAAAATTATACTAATTATACAATTGTTAGGGAAAAAAGAAAAAAACACCCAAACCAGAAAAGACTACAAAAAGAGCAAGACACAGATATAGTCTGAGAAAACACAGAAGAAACAGTTGAAGTACATTTCAGAGAGAGAGTGCACACGTGCAATGGCTTGGTGGTACAAAAGAAACAAGGGAGGGTTGATGCTGTGCTTCACTTGTCAGCTGCTTGAGCTAGGAAGCAAAGATGAGGGCAAGGAAGGCTAAAGAACCAGACAGAACCTCGACTTTACAGGTCAAGTAAGGACAGAGTTTTTGATCCTTAGGACAATTGGGAAACATTGAATATTCCCCTTGGCCTTCCAGGCCTAGGTAAGGGATCGTCACCTCACAGACAATCCCTGAGAGCCTTCTACCACACAGTCAGAACTCGGTGGTTCTAGCATGTGATAACCAATCAATAAATGTTCACTGGATCAGTGAAAAAAGAACAAGTAAACCAAGAATGGACAGCTTAGAGAGTTTTTTCCATCATATACTGGCATGATTTTGTCATCTCCAGGAATTCTTTCCTGCATATATCCTTCCTGAACTTAATCCTATTTGTTCTTGGCTTATATCTTCACTTGCAATAAACATAAAAAGCTCTGGAGAAAAGGAGCTATACGTGTGTTACAACGTTGGAAAGTAAGTCAACCCCAGTCCAATCTTTTCTACCATGACAACTGTTTTATTCTAGAAATGAGTTAACAAGGGCCATCACAAAATCAGGTGATGAAGATTCTTGCCATAAGCACAATAGATTTTTCTGTTAAACTTCACTAATTCGAGGTGGTTAAGGCAGAGTATTTGGAATTCATAGGATGAGTAAAAAAGATGCCTACTTTGATTTGTTTAGAACAAGAAATGCAACCTTCTTTCTTTCATGCATAAGGCACAGCACAAATCATGTGCCAACCAAAGGTGACAAGCAGAAGCTTTGTTTTTATTTGCATTACAAACTCAGTCTGGCCCGATTTACACAAGAAGAAATGATAAGCATAATTTTAACTGGTCCCCACATCATTTAATAATAAGCAGGAATGCATGACTAAAACCTGCTTGAAAATATACTTACACTATAAATTTCCTTCCTTAATGCAAGCAAACAAAATTAAAATACAAGGTGATCTCATTATTGTGGCAACTGAGTATTCACTAGTATCACAATAATGTCTTTGTATATTCAGATATTTTGTGATAATGGAGATGCTCATTTCATTCGTAAGTAAGATGGATAGCCACAAGTTGCTACCGTTTCTTTTTTACCTAAACACAAAAAGTCCTCAGTTAATCAAAAAAGTATAAAATGCTATGGCTTCTGTGCCAATGCTGGGATGTTTCTATGGTGTAATTTTCTTTTTTTTTTTTTTTTTTTCTTTTTGAGATGGAATTTCACTCGCCACCCAGGCTGGAGTGCAATGGCACAGTTTCAGCTCACTGCAACCTTTGCCTCCTGGGTTCAAGCAATTCTCCTGCATCAGCCTCCTAAGTAGCTGGAATTGCAGGCAGCACATCATACTCAGCTAATTTTTATTTTTTAGTAGAGGCAGGTTTCACCATGTTGGTCAGGCTTGTCTGGAATTCTTGACCTCAGTTGATCCACCCACCTCGGCCTCCCTAAGTGCTGGGATTACAGGCGTGAGCCACCACACCCAGCCTGGTGTAATGTTTTTAATTAGCATAAAAAGTTTTCATTCTGGTAGAAAATTAATCAGGAAAAATAAGAAGTGATACTCATTTATTCTTGAGGTTCAAACAAATATGCATCAGTTTCCTTAGTGACATAAATGATGATTTTTTTCTTGTTTTTCCTAAGCAACTCTATAATTCACAAAACTTGTAACTTGATAAAGCAGGAGAAAAAGTTAACTAAAGTCCTGTGACTTGAATAAACTCTGTGTCTAAAATACATTTCATTTTAATAAAATAGTTGTTTTGCTCACCAAAGAGGCCATGGTAAATCCAATGACTTCAATATAACCATCATCATGACGCTGAGGTTCAAAATCGTGGTGATCTCCTGGGTTTCCCCAGGGCATTGTGCCAGCACAATATCTGCAAGAGAAGATGAAACACAGAAGTAAATACGTCCCATCCTTCTCATGACTATCATGAGGTGGTAGTTTGTAGTTACACCCAATGTTTATTAAACATAAAAACAGTTTTCCATTCTTGGTACACACCTTCCAATAGAAAAGAAAATGCACTTCTTATCATCTACAAAATACCAAGCTGTGAAAATGGGCCATAATTTTGCAACAAAAGTATCCCATAGTATCCAACTTTCTCTTCATTCATTATTTATATTTCTCACTATGATTCTTGTATGTCTGTTTTCTATGATATATCATGAATTGTCTATAGGTGGTTTCAGAATTTGGTCTTAAAGAAAGATGCCAGTAGAAAAGAGACAGGGAAATGAAGTGGGAAGCATTTGCCATTAATACATAAGCAAAATAAGAGGTACTCACAGGAGAAGGGAAAGCTAACTATGGAAGACAGAGTGAAGAAGAGATGAAATACAGATAAGAAATTAGAAAGAGAAGGGGAAACAAAAGAAATTGAAGAAATAGGGGAAGGAGAATACAGATGGTAAAGAGGGAGAAGCAAGAAAAGAAAAGAGGAAAGACGAGGGAAAGAATAATAAAGCAAAGTAATAAATAATGCTTTCTGAGAATCAAGGCCTTCCACTTCAATTAAGCTGCAAATATTTCTGGAATAAAATTGTAACTGACTATATTGAGCACTGCCAAGAATAATCAGGAGACTATGATGTCTTTTCCTAGCCACAGATTTACATACAACTCTCATTTCAATTAAATTCAGTCTAAATACAACGTATTTGCAGATTTTCTGTCTGAGTTGTTTGGCAGGCAAATAAATGGTTACAGATCCATCCCTTCCAAACTCTTGGCTTCAGGGCCTAGAACACAATTTATGCCACTGAGATAATATGTTTATTTTGAGTCTAGTTATCTTAAATATCCCTTCTCCTGAGGTGTGTTAATAGCACCAAGGAGAGTTGACATCCTGGCTAGAAAACAATATTCTAACTGATCCTATTTTTCAAAGCAATCATCTGGCAACAATTTTGAATGAATTCCACACTCGAATCAGACTGGATGGTTTAACAGTTTTTAGGAAACTGAGAACAAAAAAAAAAAAAAAAAGTATTTCAATTCTCTCATTCTTAGAGGGGGAGAGGAGGAGAACAGTAATTTAGAAATAAATTGAGATGTTCCAGTCAAGAGGGGTGCCTGGGTTGCTTAAAGATGGGTAAGTACAGACAATGCATGCCACATGATGCACAAAACCACCAACCACAAAGAACACTGAATAAACCAAATCAGAGAATGAATTATCAGACCTAGAAATGTTTAATTATCCATTTAGATAACTGATCTTCATTGTTTACATCTGAAACTTTTCTGTTATGAAAACAGACAAGCTCAAGTCAGAGTTCATGTCAAACCAAGGAAATAATACAAACAGAGCTTACCTGGGTATATTTAAAAATACTATACACTGGAACTTCAGTTCCTGAATCTTTGGGGTGAGATCTGTTCCATCACACTGAAACAATCAAAACAGAAAAGAGGTTGTGAAGTAGTCACAAGTCTAAAAAGTTATCAGAGATAACTAGTTTGACAATAGTACACACCATGGTCTCTTTCTCCTTGCCCTATCTCTGCTTAAGTGAATGCCGGTCACAATGATTAAAAAAATATATTCTGGCTATTGCTTTACTGGACCAGGGTACAGAGCTTGGTTTTGTTTGCACTTAAGGTAAGAACAAAACCTCCATTTGATTAAAATGATTTTTTCTCCGGTCTGACAATCAAAGGAAATACTATCATTCCTAACAATGGATGATTATTAGTTATCTAGACTGATGGTGTCAATATTAAAAGATTTATGAATATGTAAAAGAATGAAAAGAAAAAAGCCTCAAGTTAAATCAGTAGTATTCATCACCATCATTATCTGATTCAAACAAGTCATAAATATAGTGATTTATTTTCTCTGTTTTTGGAGACAATTTTTATTTTGAAAATGTCAAATATTTTGAAGACTTTTTAAAAAATCTATGTACCGCAAACTTTTGAAAAGGTATCTATTATACACTAGTATGATCTTCATTCGTGGTTTGTTCTTACAAATTTAATTTTGTACAGACTCGCCTAGGCTGAAGGGCAATGGTACGATCTTGACTCACTGTAACCCTCCGCCTCCCAGGTTCAAGCGACTCTCCTGCCTCAGCCTCCCGAGCAGCTGGAATTACAGGTGCCTGCCACCATGCCTGGCTAATTTTTTTTATTTTTTAGAAGAGACAGGGTTTCACTGTGTTAGCCAGGCTGGTCTCAAACTCCTGACCTCAGGTGATCCACCCACCTTGGCCTCCCAAAGTGCTGGGATTACAGGCGTGAGCCACCGCAACTGGCCATTCAGACTTTAGACTTCTAAGATTCACTGTCTTCCTGGAGTTTAGACCTGGGAATCAAGAGTCTCAGCCCAGCTTGGCCTCAACGACCCTCGAACATGGCTTCCATGATCAGCTGGTGCTTTATCCTTTGATAAATCAAGGGAAAGTCTTTCCTGTTCCTTTCTCATTTCCCACTGGTGACAAAGGTCAAAAGAGAATAACTCTAGTCATGACTATCAACTTTCCAATGTGAAAGGTGTAAAGCCTGCTCTCATATTTGCTTTCCTCATACCCTTACCACAGAATTTCCCCATTACTTTCTCGTTTGGAGAGAGGAGCAAAGCATCCCCAATCTCCCTGCAAATTTTGAAAGAGTTCTTTAGGATCAGCTTCAATCTAAGTATCATGATTTTGCTAGTGGTCAAGTTGTCTCCAGCACCTGCGTTTTTTTCCCAGTTGATCTCAATACAGCCTAATTTTCATGCGTATTCTCAAAGAACTGTTTCCAAGAAATCTTACAATTTTAAATAAAAAAACTATTTTCAAATATAACTTAGTAATCAAATTCTAGACATTAAAGGTGTTTTTCTAGTACTCTAAACTACTAAGCAAACATCTTCCAACTTACTTAAGAACTTGAAATGAGTTTATAAATGACTATGCCAATGAATAAAAAAGTAGACATTGTAAATGTCAAAGTTGCATGTTGTAAGCAACTAAAACTTAAAACCTAGGATGTGAGACATTAATAGTGTACAAAGCATTATGGTTGCATTGCAGAAAGATTGTAATAAATATTATTGTGTTTAGAACAGAATTCATTTTTTAACTTTCTACTTTTTCCTTCTGGGAAACATGTTAGTGATTCTGGGAACTCATCAAATCATATGAAAATATCTGCTTTACACCATATACTGCTTTACAGAGTTTTTATACATATATTATTGCAATAGACTGTACTATTCCTTCAGAATAGCATTTTTCAACTTTTTCCCAATTTCAAATACACACAAAGGGACACATTTGCATGCAAAATATGTTCCTTTGTACAAGCTCATATAATGATAACAAGAAGAAAATATGGAAAATGGAACAAAAAATGCTATATGTAGGTTTTTACTGTTGTTTTGTGTTTTCTCAGTCTAGTATTCACATACATATTTTGTATCTCTATGAGACATTATTAGCTATTGCATTAGAAACACTGACTTCACCTTCACAAAGAAAAGATAGTCTGTTGTTGGGTAGACATCTAATCACTCTTGCTAACCTTCCATCGTTTTTCATCTCACACTCAAGAAAACATAGAATGATGTCATTGTAAAGTACCCTTGTATCCCTCTATGTCACAGCACAATGGTCAAAAACCATTGCTCCAAAGACATGCCTTTTTACACCTATTTGACAGATGAAGAAAGCAGACTCCTCTGAAAAGTTAAAGGATTTACCCAAAGTCACATACCTCACAAAGGCAGACCTAGCTAAATCCCAAATGTTCACACCTAGTTATAATGCTTTTTTTCCTCCTGATAAGAGAAGATATAATTGATATAAATATTCCACCTTTAACATTACATGTATAGGCTGATTTCACATCTTTCCTAGTTATTTGCTACCATTTTGGCCTCTCTGAAAGCATCTTTTAGACTCTACTATAAAGTCACCCACGCATGAGACATGTATCATCAAGGGGACTGAGATGTGAGAGAGAAAACTTTCTAGCAGTTAGGAAGTGTACAGAGTTTGAGATCAATACGGTGACTTGCACAGAACACTGCCATTCCATATGGCCACCGCCCAGCAATCACTGGGTCTGCTGGCAGGTATTGCGGATGTGCCTGTAAATGTAAAACACACTGGAGAGGGCAGTAAAGTTTAATTTTGGCTAGGCTGCAGGCAGCTGAAGAAACAGTTTAATATAAGGTGGCTGCTACTTAAATTTGATAGCCACGATTTTATCAAAATAATAATCCTCATAGTTCAATGGGCCATATTTCAGTCTCAAGAGTCTCCACTACTAAAAGATACTTACTTTTTACTTTCATCGTATGAGAACTGAAACATCTGAAAGGGATGTCAAGGGTTGTTAATAGCAGTGGTAAAGGCCTTTGTCTCTTGTTACAACTAGTTTGAGAGATTCATGTCTTATACATGCTTTAGTGGTGATTACACATTTTAATTTTTATATTTTCATGATCCTTATATTTCTTCATATTCTCATTAGTTTAAGATGATGTATTTTTCTCTATTTCCATGTATATATTTTGTTCTGTTCTGTCTTGTCAAAATTATTTTTTTTTTAGACAGAGTGTCGCTCTGTTGCCCAGACTGGAGTGCAGTGGTGTGGTCTCGGCTCACTGCAGCCTCTGCCTCCCAGGTTCAAGTGATTCTCCTGCCTCAGCCTCCAGAATAGCTGGGACTACAGGCACACACCACCATGCCCAGCTAATTTTTTGTATTTTAGTAGAGATGGGGTTTCACCATTTTGCCCAGGCTGGTCTCAAACTCTTGAGCTCAGGCAATCCAGCTGCCTTAGCCTCCCAAAGTGCTAGCATTACAGGCGTGAGCTACCGCACCCAGCCCGTCAAAATTATTCTTATTCCTTACATATGACATGATAAATTCAAGCATTGTGATATTCTCATCCCTTCTTTTCCATCTATATATTTTTTTCTGTTTCTCATTCTGTCATTTACTTACACAACTATGTGCAACAAGGTCATGTTCGTTCCTTGTTTTAACTGGGTTACTATAAGGAAACATTAATATCCTTCTTAATACCTAATTTTATTCTATTTTTGAATGGGTCACCTAGAGAAAGATAAATTTCTCTCTCCCTTGCCCCCAAGCAGCATATATCCGCAACCTGATATACAGACTCAGGAAGAAACACCACACACACACAAAAATCCATCCAGCGGTGAGGAACCTCAACCAGGTGGGAGAGTGAGTCACCACAAAATAATGAAATCAATACTTCGTTCTAAAACGGAGACTCCTCAGATTATCCTGGAATAAAGATAATTGTTTGGAGAGAGCTGATTTAAGCTTTAAGACCCAGCTAACATCATTTTTTTTTTTTTTTTTGATAAAGGTCTTCCTGACCCCACCATAGCCAGAATTATCACTTCTCCCTTTGTGCCACAACCATATTGTACACATTGTTGAATAACAATTTTATTGTTCTGAAGTGACTTATGTGACCTTCTTCACAACTGAACTGTGAGTTTCTTCAGGAGTGAAACTAGTCTTTTCATTTATCTTCATCCCCAGCAACTAAGACAGTGCCTGATACATAAGTGTAGGTTGAATGAACTACACAAAATGATCTCCAAAGTTCTATGTAGTCCAGTGATTAAATATATAAACTAAGTATTTGGGAGTTCACTTTTTGTGGCATTCATGTCATATCCAAATGAAATAAATCAACATATTCAATACTTACAACAACTTTAACATGTTTGGACAGATCTCTAGAACTTCTCTGTAGGAAGTCAGAAAAAGCTGCCTATACCACAGGGAAATAAAGAAGAAGAAATTCGTAATTATATGGTTATACCAAATCCCTGCTTCCATATCCTAGATTCCAAGGATTCCAAAGTATGCAAAAAGTCTAAACATGTTCTCTTTCTGCAGAATCCAAAGTAAAGCAGTGCAGTAGTTGTCAAGTTGAAATTTTTCTTTGTTTCCAAACTATAATTTATAGTTCCACTATAAAATTTAAGAGCACAGAATGAGAGAGAAAAAGTAGACAATTTGAGGGTCATTGGAAGGTTTATTTTGACAACCTATTCTGACTACTTTCCTTTTCCATTAAGTGCTGATACAGTCTTTCCACTAAGATTTTTCCTTATTTGCTCTGAGTGTCACAGGGCTTGACTTCCATAAACTACATATGCAGCTTCCAAACGCCTTTTAGTTAAACTCCTCCTATCCAGTGGCATAAATTTAAACCGTACTGGTATTTTGGATGCCTTTTTTTTTTCATTCTCTATTTACTTCTATGAATGTGCCTGAGAAACAAAAGAAGGAAAAAGAAGGCACCCTCTTTAATCTCACATATGCATCCATGAAAAACACCCCATATTCTGCCAGTTTCTAATCCAAACGTCAATGTGTGCACCCTGGTGAAAACTACATTCTTACCTAAGATTCTTCAGACATCCTCAGTCTACACAATTCCCCCATTTCTTACATTGTCTTTGATGTTTGTTTCTCACATTCCTCTTTGAATAGCATCCTCTCTTGTTCAACATGAAGCCTCAGGGCTTCCTTACAAGCTCAAAGATGAGGAACACCAACTCTCTTTCTGAGAGCTAACTTAAATACACCTCACCTTCATTCTTAAGCCCAGACATTAAACAGTAACCATATATAGACATAAATAAATGAAATGTATATGTGATTATTTCTAATGTAGTTTGCAACTTTATTACACAGTGAATTGGCACTAAGTAATATGTAGTAATTATAAAATAAAATGTATACCTACCCCTGCATAGAACATTTTATTTCGAAAACGACTGTTGAATTTCTCTGGATTTGCTTCTGTGAAAGAGGAAAAGTAGTTTTGTTATGGAGACCTCATTAAAGGTAGCGACTTAGATTAGCACTCCCACTTCCTCCCCGACTCCCTCCCATCCTACAGATCCAATAGATCCCATGGTTTGGTTATCATCTTTCCCCTAGTTCCAGGCCAGTTAGTACAGTGGCCTAGTGCTACAGGGACAGTAATCCAGGACTATAAATGTGTAGCTACAAACTGGCATCACTGACATTAACTGGGAACTTGTTAGAAATGCAAATGATTAGGTGCTAGCCAGATTGACTGAGTCAGAATGACTGAGTGTGGAGTCTATACATCTGTGGAGGGGCTTAACTAGCTCTCCAGGTGATTCTCAAGCACATTAAAGATGGAGGCACTCTAGATGCTTTGTAAAAATTGGAGGGTTCACAGGGATATTGGGCTGGGATAACAGGAAAAGGTGGAAGGAGGTGGAGAAGTGATTATTTACTTTGACTTTCATAGGGCATGACTTCCGTAAGCTATGTATGCAGCTTCCAAAAGTAATTAAACATGTTTTTGAATTTGGCTTGTGTTTGGAATAGACATAAAAATGGGAATTAATGCCAGTTTAATTATTCCTTCTAAAAGAAATACAATATATGTAGTTACGCTGAGAAGTGTCCATTTGATGGGCTATACTTATATCTGTGCTAAAAAATTTTTTCCAGTTAAATTTTAAAAAATTCTCCTTTAATGAGATTTATATGAATTACCCATTTTTATGTAGATATATTGGCATAATTCTCAACTTAAAAGTACTACATTTTCTTGACTAATACCTCATAGATTCTACTATTCAAGCTATTTTTTCACAACAGCTTTCATGAGCCTTTGCATTACCCTTCAGGTATTTTATGGCAAATGATCCATGAAGTCGCAGACAGTGCCTGTGTTGGAAAACAGTTTAAAGTCTCACTATGAGTTTTCTTGGTTTGAGAACAGCCACTCACTATCTGACAAAATAAGTAAGCTTGCCACAATTAAAAATGTGGTCTTGCTTATCTTGTTTTTTCTTCTATAGCTCAGCTTAAGATTTCTTGACTAACTAGTTAAAAATATGGGGAAAATACGAATGAACAGAAACAGTTAAAAAAAAAAGACTACTCACTGAATTATATATTTCATAGACAAATAATTTTTTAATTTAATGTTAAAAAAGCAGATTAACAGCTACTGAAAAGTCCATACGTCTGGTCTAAGTGTATCAGCAAAATCTGGTTCCAATATCTTATAGATATTTATTTTTTTTACCATCTCTATCTCACCTGCATGAATATTGTACCTATTAATTCCAATCAACATCAATTCTCCGTTAGCAGCCCTTCAGTGGCTGATTTTCCTCAAAGACTCTGATTTACGTGCAGGGGAAATGTTTACAATTCCATTTCATACTGCATCAAAATACAATATGCCTCAGCAATAAACTATACACAGATTAATGCTTGACATCTTTTGTTTTATAATCACACGCATATAAATGTACATGTTCACACATACAACAATTTGCATATTCCACTCTAAAATAGTCCTACAGCTTAAAATAAAAGAGAAAAACACTTTCCCCAAAAGAATTTTCTTCTAAGCCTGGTATTTCCATGTAAGGGTCTCTCCCTGCTCCCTTCTCACTCTGATGCATAGAAACTTCATCATAGTACAAGAAAGTGAATCATTAGAAAAACTTCCGAATTAGTTAGACTAAAGACGAGACTCACTTGAGCTCACTGAGCTCACTGAATGAGCTCATTGTTGGCCACTTATTCATTTAGACCTCTTTTCATGTCTATTTTTGGAAATCCATGTATTAGTGATAATTGTGTTACTTTACAGGTATTATTAAGAAGTTTGGGGTATTTTATTAAGAAGCCTAGGATCCAGATTCTGCTAAAGAATATGGGACAAAAAATGGGGTAAGAAATGAAGAATAAAATCCCCCATTTACTTCCCAAATTAACTCTCCTTAAATATAGGGAGGGTATCAGGTCATAAATGTTGGCCCTAAGGTAGGTCCCCTGAATATCTGATATCCAAGAACTGTCTAAGGCAGGGAGGGGGAAGTGGAAGTGTTTCTGACTCAGGATATTTGAGGTTCTGTTATCAATCATCCCTTCTAGCTGTGATTCTCTAGCCAATCAGAGAGGAATACCAAACTATGGCCTTCTCTTCAAACAGTATTGTTCTTGCTTGGCACAGAATTTGACCTTTACAGAGCCTGTCGTCTCAAAACCTTGTGAAACCAGGAAGGTCAAAGTCTACTAACATTTCTGGATCCAGTAAGAGACTTTAAATATCTGTTTCTTACTTGTATTTTATACTCTAATGGTTTTTAATCCTGTAGCATCACTCTTGACTTCTGGTTCCTAAGTGCATGATCAGAATTTTCATGTTATTACCAGAATCTGAAAATCTGAATTCTGGCTTTTAGTGCTCTGTTATTTCAAATTCCAAAGTATGCAAAAAGTCTAAACACCACTTGCTTTCTTACATAACCTGGAGGGAAAAAAGTAAAGTACTTCTCATTTACGACTTTATCTCACAAGTCTCTTGATAATCTACATCCTAGCATGGTTCTGGTTATATATAGTCAGAAGGCACTAGATACAGATATAGACACAGGCATAGACATGGATATATAGTATAGCTATATTAATAAGAGAGTTTAAGAGAGAGAACGAGACAGAAAGCAAGAGAGAGAGAGATCAATTGGGACTACAAAACATAAGTCAAAACCCTAAACTTTCTCAGTTCTAAATGGCATAAGAAAATGTTGATGAAATATTTAACAGCATGTCATTATTTTGTCTTCTCTTTCAAAAATTGTGTTCCCCTAATCTTGACCCCATCTCTTTTAGTACCCGAAATCACTACATGGTTTCATTCACACCTCTGTATCACTCAGTTGGGATGCCTAGTACCTTCCTAATTAATCCCATCACCATTACATCCTATTCTTTCAACCTAAACTACCTATAGCTCCTCTATTGTTCTAAGATGCCTGTTTCTTTTATACAGAGGGGACGTTTTTGTTTTTGCTACCATGTTTCAATGGCTCTGGTTATGTAGTGTTGCACTTTAATAGTGTTTTGTGAAGCTAAAGAATATCCTAGTGACTTCAGTAATAGTCTCTATCACTTCTTAGTATTTTACTCACTTCAAAACTTCCAGTAGAACACAAAGATTAACAATCCTGAGACCTGGAACACACATCTAGTCCTGCCTTTTACTGCCTTTGAGACCCTGGACAACTAGGTCTCAGGGTTCCATCTGTCTGAACAACTAGGTCTCAGGGTTCCATCTGT